GTGATCAATCTGGGTGGGTAATATTAAACCTCAGGATGAACATTACATTTTATTCTGTAGATTACAAATTGGATATTTTATACAGTATAATATTCTGTAAAAGCTGAACTGCAAACATAAATAAAAACAATTGAATAAATAAGAAAAGTCTTGAGGATTCCAATCAACAATCCTGTAATAAAGCGTACCATATCCCTGGTATATACCCTGCATTCACTATATCTGGTCTCCCCGGACCCTGCATTCACTATATCTGGTCTCCCAGGACCCTGCATTCACTATATCTGGTCTCCCAGGACCCTGCATTCACTCTATTTGGTCTCCCAGGACCCTGCATTCACTATATCTGTTCTCCCAGGACCCTGCATTCACTATATCTGGTCTCCCAGGACCCTGCACTCACTATATCTGGTCTCCTCGGACCCTGCATTCACTATATCTGGTCTCCCCGGACCCTGCATTCACTATATCTGGTCTCCCCGGACCCTGCATTCACTATATCTGGTCTCTCCGGACCCCACATTCACTATATCTGGTCTCCCAGGACCCCGCAATCACTATATCTGGTCTCCCTGGACCCTGCACTCACTATATCTGGTCTCCCTGGACCCAGCACTCACTATATCCGTTCTCCCAGGACCCCGCATTCACTATATCCGGTCTCCCAGGACCCCGCATTCACTATATCTGGTCTCCAGGACCCTGCATTCACTATATCCTTTCTCCCCGGTCCCTGCATTCACTATATCTGGTCTGCCTGGACCCTGCACTCACTATATCTGGTCTCCCCCGGACCCTATATTTACTATATCTGGTCTCCCCGGACCCTGCATTCACTATATCTGGTCTCCCACATCCCTGCATTCACTATATCTGGTCTCCCACGTCCCTGCATTCACTATATCTGGTCTCCCACGTCCCTGCATTCACTATATCTGGTCTCCCCGGACCCTGCATTCACTATATCTGGTCTCCCACATCCCTGCATTCACTATATCTGGTCTCCCAGGACCCTGCATTCACTATATCTGGTCTCCCTGGACCCTGCATTCACTATATCTGGTCTCCCCAGACCCTGCATTCACTATATCTGGTCTCCCAGGACCCTGCATTCACTATATCTGGTCTCCCCGGACCCTGCATTCACTATATCTGGTCTCCCCGGACCCTGCATTCACTATATCTGGTCTCCCCGGACCCTGCATTCACTATTATCTGGTCTGACCCTGCACTCACTATATCTGGTCTCCCAGGACCCTGCATTCACTATATCTGGTCTCCCCGGACCCTGCATTCACTATATCTGGTCTCCCCGGACCCTGCATTCACTATATCTGGTCTCCCTGGACCCTGCATTCACTATATCTGCTCTCCCACAGTACACACAACATGGAATTGCAATTATTTTAGAAAAATATAAACTGCTAAATACCTTTTCTCATCAGCAGTATATAGCAGTCTTGTGACTTCTATCAGTGTCCAGCAGACCACATGTTAACCGCTTGCCCTCCACAGGATTTACCCCCCTTCCTGGCCAGGCCATTTTTTGCGATATGACGCAGTGTTACTTTAACTGACAATTTCGCGGTCATGCAACACTGCACCTAAATGAAATTTATGTCCTTTTTTTCCCACAAATAGAGCTTTCTTTCGGTGGTATTTGATCACCTATGTGTTTTTAATTTTTTGCGCTATAAACAAAAAAAGACCAACAATTTGCTATAAAACATTAAAAAAAAAATTTAAAAAATCAAATTTCGTCATAAATTTAGGCCAAAATGTATTCTGCTACAGGTCTTTGCTAAAAAAAAAAAAAAAAAATCCCAATACATGTAAATTAATTGGTTTACGTGAAAGTTATAGCCTATACAAATGGCAGCATATATACTGGGATTGTTTTTATATACTATAATGGTGGCGACTTATAGCGGGACTGCAGCATTCTGACACTGGGGGGAACTGACTAACTGCCACTGACATCTCAATGACACCAATACAGTGATCAGTGCTAATAAAAAGCACTGACACTGTACTAATGGCACTGGGCAGGAAGGGATTAACATCTGGGGCTATCAAAGGGTTAACTGTGTGCTGTGTGTGTTTTACTAGGGAAACATGCTGCTGTGTATTTCTCTGCTGTGCAGAGAAAATATTGTTCTCCCTGTGCCTGCGTGGGTTTCCTCCGGGTACTCCAGTTTCCTCCTTTACTCCAAAGACATGCCAGTAGATGTACTGGCTCCTGCCTAAATTGGCCCCAGTATGTGTATGTATGAATGTGAGTTAGGGACCTTAGATTGTACACCCCTTGAGGGTTAGGGACTGATGTGAATGTACAATGTATATGTATATATATTGTTTACACAAAGGTCTCTCCCCCTGTTGGTGTTACTTGGCAATTGCCGGGTACAGGTGGGGAATTTCCAGCCTAAACCCGTGATTGATATTCATAGCTGCCGTTGGCTGTGTGGGTAGGGCGCGGTACATGATTTTGCGCAGCCCTGCCACCCAGTAGCAGTAATTCTACTATAGGGCGGATGGCAAGCTGTTAAAGCTTGTAGGAGGAGTTTTCATTCTCCTGTAGGAGGATGCAGGACGCCAGACCTCTGTCTGGACAGCGCTGATTGGCCCTGTGGTAATCACATGCACTCCTCCGCCCAAAAAAGAAACCTCTAGCAATACACACCAAACCGAGCATGTGCAGAGTGTCCCCACACAATATGTCTTATCAGGAGATAAGAGGGGAACACTGGAAGAAGGGGAGGATCAGAGAAGACAGGATAAAACACACTGCAGAGGATTAACCCCTTAGGTTCCACAGTGAGTCTAACAAGCACGCTTTACTGCAATATACAGACTGATTTTACTGTTGTGGGTTTAGTAACACTATAATTTTTTAATTTAAAATAATAAACATGTTTATACTTACCTACGCTGTGCAATAAATATTGCACAGAGTGGCCTCGAACCTCCTTTTTTCAGGTCCCCTGTCAGCACTCCAGGCTCCTCCTATACTTGGTGCCCCACCATAGGAAGTCACTTCCTATGGCGGTGCACCTTTCTGAGCCAAACTTTGTGCGTCTATTGACACACACAGAAAGACTCAGCCCCACCCCCATCTCTGTTCATAGAATTTGAATTGACATCAGCTAATGGCTCCCTGCTGCAGCCTCTGTGAGTAAATGAGAGAGGAGAGAGCCTCTGCATGTAGGCACAGCTCTGGATTGAGCTAGGACTCAGCTAAGTATTCAAGGGGGTGAGGGGTTGATACAAATACAGGGGCATGTTTTAACCCTTAATGAATGGAATGCAATAAAATAAAAAAAATGCCCAATCATAAAGATAAACCACTTTAAAGAATCTGAAAAATTCTCCCTTGCAGTAAGATTGTGCCCACACTGCAAGTGTCAACTGTTCCTTTAGATATGGTGGGCATAGAAAAGAAGATTTACTTACCTGAATCCTCCAAGCTGGTGGACTGATCCCCGCAGCACCTTCTACCCCATGCTCCATCAGTCTCTAAGGTTCTAAGGTCATCAGGGCCAATGTGCAGGGTCCACAGCCCTGCATTGGAGTTGATGACGCCGAGGGGCAATCTGTTGCATAAGCATGGCAGAGCACTGACTACCAGGGATGGCAGAGGAAAAGGACTTTTAATTACCTTTAGGGTTTCCCTTTGTATCCCGAACAATTCTTCTGGCAGTATGTGGCTGCAATCTTCTTGGTCTAAACCTGACCTTGACTTGGTATCAAGAGATCCCCGAACTTTCCACTTCTTAATAGGTGATTTAACAGTACTGATTGGCGTATATTCAAGGCTTTGGACATCTTTTTATGTCCTTTTCCATCTTTTATAAAGTTCCATTAACTTGTTACGCAGGACTTTTGACAGTTCTTTTCTGTTCCCATGGCTCAGTATGTAGCATAATCAGTGCTTCCACGTGGGAGCTAACAAACTCATTGACTATTTATACACTGACACAAATTGCAATTTAAAAAGCCACAGATGTGGGACATTAACCTCTAATTGGCATTCTATCCCGTGTGTGTCACCTTGTGTGTCTGTACCAAGGCCAAACATTCCAGGGTATGTAAACTTTTGATCATAGCCATTTTGGTGTGTGTTCTGTTATTATTATGATTTAAAAAGGAGCCAAACAACTATTTGATAATAAATGGCTTCCTATGATCATCATCCTTCAATAAAAGAGCATTTTGTGGCATGATCAGTCATATTTTCAATATCAAATGCCAAAATTTTCACAATTTCTGCCAGGGTATGCAAACTTTTTGTTTGAGCACAACTCTCTCTCTCTCTCTCCCTCCCCCCCCCCCCCCCCCCCAGATCCATTTTCCATGATATAATACTTATATAATTTTTTTGTAATTTTATTATGGTAAGTCTAATTTACCATTTTGGAGGACAAATGTGTTCTAGTAATAACTGGAAGTCTGAGCTCAGAACAATAGTTTTTTTACGTTAGTCCTTTTCAGTAGTTATAGAAGTCTCCCTTTAGGTGGCGCTCCATCCTTATGGCTGGAACTATGTCAACTAATGGGATTCAAACACCTCCCTCTGGTTTAATGGTTGGCTCCAGAGCTTTATAATAACCATAGGACAGATAAAGACAGCAGCTTTCTTCGCTGCTTGACTGAACTAAAAGAAAACTGATTAAAATTGCAGGCAAAAGGCCACTCCAAAGACCGGCTAAAGAAAGCTGCGGAGATTTTTTTTTTTTCCTCCCACTTCTCTTTGCTGTTCCTTTACCACCCTCTCAGTGCCAAACAGCAGGAGAGGGAGGAGAAGGCAAATCCAATGATTCATGGACTCTTTGCTTTGAATTCTTTCTGCCACTTTCAGCAGGGCCACCTGTTTCCCGTATCTTTGAGTTGTAAGGTCCCTGGAACCATGAACCAAACCGATGCTGCACTTTTTCTTTCCAACAGCAGTAACTCTTTGGGCAACCTCTTGAGTTGTTGCACCCAGGCTTCTGTGGTCACAGATGATGGGTTTGAGGTCCCCTCCATGGACGAAAGAAACCTCTTCGTCATGCGAGTTCGTTCAAATCGCAGTCATGTGCGTCCTGTCCCTCACCGTCGTCTTTGGGATTTTTTTCCTAGGGTGCAACCTGCTAATCAAATCGGAGGGCATGATAAACTTTTTGGTGAAAGAAAGGAGACCGTCCAAAGAAGTTGAAGCTGTAATCGTTGGCCCGTACTGAATGCGCCAAAGGAAAGAACAACAAAAATTATATATATTGCTGTCTTTGCGCAGCTGTACACAGCAGCACGTTTTTTCCATTTCTACGTCCCATGAAGAACAACCAAAAATGAAGACAGGCATTGGGAGGACGGCACAAATGGGAAAAAAAAAAGTTGATCCAGAAAATTTTCGGTGGAAGAGATACAGCGATTGGAAACTGAAGATAAAAGAATTTGCAGCACTTTAACGAAAGGAAAGATGGATCAACTTGCTGATGAGTCAAAGGCAGAGCTTGAGACTGAGATATTCATGTACAGTACTCAAAAAGCACAAGAAAAAAAGTGTTCTCTTTGCTTCTCATCAAAGGAGGGTGTGCTTTGATATTTTGATTGTAATATTTTTTTATTATGAAATGCTTTTTTTTTTTTTTCAAAGACCAATACTTTGATACAGCACATTTGATATAAAAAAAAATCAAGGCATTATTTATTAATCCTTTTTTTTGGGGGGGGGGAGACCGTTTGAATATTGTTTTGCTTTTGAACAAAGGAAACTGTGAATGTTTGCTATCTTTTAATATGTCATTTTTATACTTGATATAAACTGTATATTTGCCTTACACGGGCTGGTTTTTAGTTCGATGGTACTTGCTTTGCCTTTTAATGTTTTATAAAAGTGAAGAGAGATGGAACAGTTTATTATTTAGGGTTAGGGTTCAGTGCCTCATAACATATAACTGATTGCCTGTTATAATTTGGCTTAAAAAAATTGGCAGGTTAGCCAACTTCTAAAATATTACAAAACAAATTCCAGAAATCCGCAGATATCATTTTCTTTTTACTAATAACAAATAATTGCTGGAAGGAATTACATTTGTACAATTGCACCTAGTTCTAAAATGAGGGTAATTGTATGTATGTATGTAAGTGGGGTGTGTGTGTGTATTTTTTTATTTATGAAACCGTGCATGATTATAAATATAAATATATATACAATATTCAGAATATACAAAATGATCTCCTTGTAACTTTTAAATTTGAAAATTTCTTTTTAATTATTTCAGTGAAATATTTATTTGATGTTAATTAAAACCATCCGACACTTACTAAATTCCATATTGTGTATGTGATACCTTACTTTAAATACACGGACTTGTTTCCCATTGCTTACATTTGATTTGTCAATGATATAATGTTAAATGCTATTTATTTAATTCATTATGCGCCATCTGTAGCTTATTAAAAACGTGTGAATTTAAGCAGACTTGGAAAAAAAAAATGAAAGATACAATTTTTGAATGTTTTTTCCTTCCATTTGGAAATGGAAAAAAAAAAAAAAGCTGCATTGATTATTATAAACAGTTAACAAGAGAGCAGGTGCAATAAAAGAAGCCAAGTGGTGGTGGGGGAAGGGTAACTGTTGGGTGTACACAAGTAATTCATGTCTACAGATTGAAAAAAGTACCACCTTAAATGCTGGCCATACATTGTACAATGTTCTTATTCAATTTTCTTTAGATTTACCTTCAACTATGTAGTGCAAGGGGCCTGCCTGATTGCATACAAACTGAAAGTGTTTAAGTTTGACCTCCTATTACATGGTTTTGGTAAATGTAAATTGTACAAGAACATCCAGTATGTTGGTAACAAAGACAAGATCAGAGCATGGATGCCTCTAATAAAAATAATTTCACGCGTGGAGGTAGTAATGAACACTAAATGAAAAGCATCAGGCTAAAGCATGTGTGATTCAAAAGTTTAATCCAGTATAATGAGCTGAATTGATTGACTGTTAGCACCTTTGGGATTTTGCATAGCTGTGTGCAGATAAATACCTGTTGTAACAGCCTTGCCTATCTTGACATATGACAGATGAGGCAGGTCCTGGTAAATTGATGTTGCTGTACCAGAGCAAGCTACATCAGGAAGGATGCAATGACAGGAACAGATCAAGATCAATTTAGCATGTTCTAATGACATTACAACAGCAATAGAAACAGACAGGAGGAGAGTAATGTTTTCAAAGATCTGTTTACTGGGAAAAGGCATTATTGTTATGCAAAGTAAAAGTCTATAAATAAAATTAAAAAAAAATCAGAATAAAGTTATCACAGCGTGCTTCTGTGCCTACTTATGGATCCAACTAGACAATTGCAAAGACTAGTCTAAGGAGGTGAATGAATGTCTTTTTTATAACTGTATTGACTGTGTCATTTACAAACATTGATTTGCCCTCCTGAGGATTTACCCCCCTTCCTGACCAGGCCATTTTTTGCTTTACAGCGCTGTGTTACTTTAACTGACAATTGTGCGGTCATGCAACACTGCACCCAAATGAAATTTAAGTTTTTTCCCCCCCAAAATAGAGCTCTCTTTTGGTGGTATTTGATCCCCTGTGCATTTTTCATTTTTTGCACTATAAAAAAAAGTGACAATTTTGAGAAAAAAACTATATTTTTGAGTTTTTGCTATTAAACATTTCCAATAAAAAAATTTCAAAAATCAAATGTCATCATAAATTTAGGCCAAAATATATCCTGCTACGTCTTTGCTAAAAAATAAATCCAAATACGTGTAAATTAAGTATATCTGCTACAGGGCGACAGGAAAGCTGTTCAAGCCAAAAGCAAACATTTATTATATTGCAGCTTACCAGTTCTTAGATGTGGTGGCTGCATTGGTTTTCTTTGTTAGGCTGTCTTTCCTTTTATGTTCACCTAATGATCTGGCCAGTAAGTCTCTTGTTTTTCAAAAGAACTAGCTCTTCTGCAAATGTAGCAGTTAGAGCATTGAGGTAAACCATTTACCACTGACAGGGGTGCTTGCAATGGTCAGATTTTATTTATTATAAAACTTTTATCCCAAAGGAAAAAAAAAAAACTGTTGCTGTAACTGCTTAAAAAGGCTGGTTTCACACTGATCCTAGCAAAAACGCGGCAAAAAGGTATTTGCATTTTTATCAAGGTTTTGCAATGTTTTACCACATTTTTGCAGGACAGGTGAGTCAAAAATGCACAACAGGTGCATTTTTTATACAGTTTTGCCACATTTTCCATTAACCACTTGCCCTCCAAAGGATTTACTCCCTTTCCTGACCAGACCATCTTTTGCGATACGGCACTGCATTACTTTAACTGACAATTGCGCGGTCATGCAACTCTGCACTCAAATGTATGTCCTTTTTTTTCCCCACAAATAGAGCTTTCTTTTGGTGCTATTTGACCGCCTCTGTGTTTTATTTTTTCGCGCAATAAACAAAATAGACCGACCGACATATTTTTTGACTTTTTGCTATAAAACATAAATAGTAAAAAAAAATTTAAAAATCAAATTTCATCATACATTTAGGCCAAAATGTATTCTGCTACATGTCTTTGCTAAAAAAAAATCAAATACGTGTAAATGAATTGGTCTATGTGAAAGTTATATCATCTACATAGCGTTTTTTTTGTTTTATACTAGTAATGGCGGTGATCAGCGACTTATAGCGAGACTGTGGGACTGCGGCGGGCATTCTGACACTGGGGGGGGGGGGGGGGAGGGGGAACTGATTAACTGCCACTGACATCCCCAGTGACACTAATACAGTGATCAGTGCTAATAAAAAGCACTGACACTGTACTAATGACACTGGGCAGGAAGGGGTTAACATCTGGGCGATCAAACGGTTAACTGTGTGCTGTGTGTTTTACTGTATGCTGTGTTAAACTAGGGAGACATGCTATTTTGTATTGCTTTGCTATGCAGAGCAATACAAAGCAGTGTGCTGGTGCTGACAGGGGAGAGATCTGTATTGTTTACATACAGACCTCTCCCATGTCAGGGTCCCTTGGCGATCGCTGGATGCCGGCATGGAACCTCCGGCCGGGACCCGGTGATTGACAGCTGTAGCCACCAATGGTGCACGCCCCCTACCCGGAAATACAAAATCACGTATAATATATAGTAGCTCTGCTATAGCATGGTCGGGAAGTGGTTAATTTCCATGGGGAGGTGTGGGGGTTTTTTACCGGCACCAAACCTGCACTAAAAATGTAGCAAACAGGATTTTAAAAATGCACCTGACCCACAATGGATCAGTGTGAAGAGTTCCAAAGGAAAAAAATGGTCACACATTTTTCTGATGACTTTTTTTTTAACACAAAAACAGCTCAGTGTGAAACCAGCATAAGTTTTAGCTAGAGTTTGGCTTCAATTTGTTAATGTTTCTAAATCTGCTAGTCCATCTAACACTCCTCTTCTCTCAACTGACAATGGTGGTTCAGTTGCTCCTTCATCCAGAGTGGGGGCGCCCTAATACAGGAGGTGTGTTACTGGCTAGTACATTGGGGTTGATTTATTAAGGGTCAATGTACTTTTTTTTGGGGCATGAAGTTATGCTGTCATCCTATTCACTAAGTTGTGCTGGCTTAACACAACACACCCTAATGCATGGTAGCACAGAGGGGGTTATTTACTAACACTGGAAAGTGCAAAAATCAGGTGCAGCTCTGCATAGAAACCAATCAGCTTCCAGGTTTTATTGTCAAAGCTTCATTGAACGAGCTGAAGATAGAAGCTGATTGGCCCTCATGCACAGCTGCACCAGATTCTGAGTGCTCCAGCTTTAGTAAATCTCCCCCATTGTGTTCACTCAAGCTATAGTGTAAGTGGGCACTCAAGGAACACAGCATGTTCCCTCTGTAAAGTGTATGTTCACTTACCCCCGGTTCACATATATGCTGCCGCGCGGGCTGCATTTTGCGTAGGCACAAGAGCCCATTCATTTGAATGGACTCTCGTGCCCCGGGACACGCAGGGAAGATGTCCCTGCACTTCTTCTGAAAACACAGTCCGCACGGGAACTTTGGTTCCCAGTACGGTTGCTTTTTCCAGTGCGGGTGGCGTGTCATTAGAACTAATGTCACCCCACCCGCGGGTCCGCATTCCTCTGTGCGAGTGGTGCAGATTTGTGCGGATCCGCAGCTGCACCACCCATACGTATGGCTTAACAAATGGGGTAAAAATGTGTTCACATTTA